ACATTGAAGCGCCCCCAAGCTCTGTGCGAACCACACGTGGCAGAGATAAGAGGCGCGCGCTGTTGCAATAAGTGGGAAGACGACTTCTAAAGTGCGCTTTCTCACTGGCGAGAAAAAAACACGTTGAAGCGCCCCCAAGATCTGCGTACCGCTAGTGGTAATTGGTGTATATAAATAGCTCCCCGTTAGCATATGCTAAATAACGTAGGCTTCCTGGCCACAATGCGACGTGTCAGTGTAGGTTTGAATGCCCGGTCGCATGCTTTGGAAAATATTGCTCTGAATTATTTTTCTTTAATGTCTTCATGTATATACATATACTGGACATGACGGCGAGGGCAAGAACCAGTCGAAAGGGTTCATATAAATGCTATCATAATATTAACGTGCAGGAGAGGTACATCGCTGGTTTACGGTTTTTCTGCACCCCCTCAGCTGCCGCGTCATCGACATTTTTGCATCAATGAATAGCCATCGACGCCCTAGCAATTTGCGACCCAAGACGCAGTTGAAGCAGCTGTGGCGCCGGGGGATAGATGGGGGGGGGGGGGCTGTAGCTCCCCCCCTCCTTCTCAATTTTTGCCTGTTCTGCGTTGCCCCCTAAAAAAACATAGTCATAACACAATTGCTAAGTTCCCCCCCTCTGACGGAATCATAAACAGCCATAGCAGCAACAAAGTAGCAGGAGCCATAGCAGCAACAAAGGCCATCTAACAATTTTTAGCCATTGCCTTCAATATTGCAGGCGTGCTTGGTTCAACTGGACCCCACTAGATGGTGTGGCTTGTCCAGTTTAACTAGAGTAACTGTATATGCTCCCTACAGGACCCAACGTTGTACAGGACCAGAGTAGCGCATAGGTCTGCCATCTTGCCTGGTTAGCAACCATACGCGGTGAAGCCGCGCTCTGTTTTTGCAGGTGAATTGCTTAAGCCTGTCGCCAATCGCCAGTCGACATGCCTGGCATGTCAACGGTCCTCGAAAAAACAAGAAGCGCCTGCTTTTGGGACTGTGCCAAGCGAGTTCAAAAACATTTTTTAGTCTGTCTGGCAATGCAAAGCGCAAAGGTGTAGTGTAATGCCGAATAACACGCACTGGCATTGCCACATGGTCAATTGGCGCCAGCTATGAAAAATAAGCAACAACTCACAAACACAAAATTTAGGTCCTTCTAGATTCAAGGAGGGCCTCATTAAGCTGACAACATTGAATAGTTCAGTATGTTCTTCGAAAATGGTGCCGAATTCACGAAAACATTTTGCTGTCGAAGCCTAAAAACATTAACCAAAGCAAATAAAAGCACCAGTTCGTAGCTAACGAACCTCAGAGCGCACGACGGTCACTTGATAGATTCCACGTGGACGATGACCGCCTTCAGCAGTGCGGTCTGTGCCCAATCTTCCCCGCAGGGCATGGTTGCTAGCAGCATTGAAAAACAGATACATAAAAACAGAGCATATACAGTTACTCTTAGGCGAAAATTGAATTTTCAACCACTCGCACAATTCCCCATATTAACATTCGGTGGTTTTTCCCATGAATCAAATAGAAACGAAGAAGCAGCATCTTATTACCTCTCTTGCTACACTGAAGGTTCTTTATTTAGTGCAGCTAGACTAATTGTAGGCGGTTTGTCTGACGTAATTGGGATCATTTTGCAAACGTCCTAGTGTGGCGCATTTGTTCTCGTGCATTTACCTTGATTTCTCACTAAGTAGGGCAATGGTGTTGATAATATTGCCGTTTTAGGCATTGTGATACATTGAGCTTTCACTCTGACGTAAATTCTTATTTGACTTGAACGTAAATTGTTATTTCAGTCCCTTTAATGCATGCGTCCAATTTTCGTCTATGCAGCTTCACCGCCACAGCTTTTAGGTTTCTTCCGCTCAAAGCAGGCTCAATTCTCTCCACGTTATACCTTCTTATCTCAGCTGTCTTACGCCTATCGATTAACTGCGTAAGCACGGCCAGCTCTGTTTTGTCTTGCATTTGAGGCTTTCATGGTTAACGTCTCTTAATAAGATTTTTCATCCCTTGGGATTAGCTTTCCAGTGTCCTGTCCAATGACTGTACGCCCCAACTCGCATTGCACACTCCTTTACGATACTATTCAAATTTTCATTCATTGTGTCAACGCTGTTGGTTCTCTCGGTTAGAGCTGCAAATATATTCAGAAATGAAACTCTAAATTCCTGTACTTTTCCTCTCAGCGCTAGCTCATTAAAAATCTGCATAGTGTAACATCTGACTGAATACAAAGTGAGCACAGACTCGTTACTGGCAATGCAGATAGAGTTCTTTATGAGTTTAAAAAGTATAACGAAGTTCAACTGATCCAACTACAGGGGCATTGTATGTACGAAGGTACACGCATTTCCTCCTTTGCCTCCAGAAATTGCCGCTAAATCTACATTTCAGCAGAAAATGCAACATTCTTTGTACATTAGGATACAAAGGGTTTCTGTATAATTTGCAATTACTACAATGTTTTATTTGTACCTTAATTACAAGTTTTAAAAGTCAAAAAGCCACATTAAGACAAAAGAACAAAGCTTAGGCCCATTATTCCACATGATGCTTGCAATAGCCTTGAAATTTGATGTCACTACCTCATTAAGAGTGTTGGCTTGTGCACAGTTGACACTTGTGGCACATTGTTTACCAACCGAGTACCAACTGTGACAGTGGCTATTTACACTCATCCTGTCTTCTTTTCTGGCATCTTTTTTGGTGTTTAAGCAGCGCATTTCCAGTGTCGAGTTGCGAGTTATTCATTAGCACTCATTCTGTGCATTCTCATCGAGTGTCCTTTGTGCTTGGCGGCACATTGCATGAATGAAGTTGCTTACCCATCTTCATGTGACATTCTATTTTCCTGCTATCACATTCACTGCTCCACCCTCGCCCCGAAACTTTCTTTTTCATGTGCATTTTTGCAAAATGAGATCATGTCACCCGCCGCATTACTGCTTTGGACATAGGGAGTTTGACACGCCGATCTACCACATTTAAGAGGTCACGATGTCAATATGAGTAACTTAGAAGTGTGCGAGTTTGGACTAGTTGGTATGACACGACGATAGTTATAGCACGAAAACAGAATGATGACAAAGAGACAAAGTGTCTTTCGTGTCTCTTTGTTGTCCTGTTCTTGCGCTATTACTATCGTCATGTCAATATTAGAGTGCACTGCTCGCGAAATTTAAGGATTTTCAAGGATGGCAAAAAACTCTCTATCAAGGGCCTTGAAAATGCATTTTTCCAATTCTAGGGTTTTCGAGGATTTCAAGGACCTGTACGAACCCTGTTGTTTGTTACTCTGCCCGAGAGTTGCGGTGTGTGTGCACAACTGAATGGGAGCCTACATAAGTGAACATGCCAGCCCACTAGTTCGTCTTTCTCTCAGTGCCCTTCCCCCTGGCAAAAAAAAAAGCTAAGAATTTCTGTGGTAGGATCTCTGCACTCCTTTTAATCTCTGAAAATTTCGTTTTGGAAAGCCGGTTGCTTCGGATCACATTGCCAATATCTATCCCCCTTCCCTGCTCTCTGCCATAACGGCAGCAGAGGAAAATGAAGAAGGTGGATTACCACAAGAGGCCACTCCCATACGTGTCGGCTGTGGCAACACTAGCTCCACAATCCTTTTTATCTCGTCTGCCGACCAGTCACCTGTCCCGTACCACACTGCTACTACCAAATGGTACAAACACTTGAAAACGTCCAAATAAAGCCACTGAACATTTGCACTTAGTTTTTACGTGCCTCCCAAGACTTGCCGTATTCAAGTTTTGTGCGGCACATCATGAAGCATCTACACACTAGTGCTAAGGAAATCAATTCTAGCTTTGAAGACAAGTCCACTTGTCAAAACGTCAAACCCCCCCACCCTCCACAGTTTTCATCTCAAGCTTCCATCTCCCCTTTCCATTTTTTTGGACATCCTTAATTAGAAATCTGCAGCACATAGTACATGAAACCTGGTCACATGCACCGCTTATGGAGGTAATCTGCATAGTTTCGACCTTTTCACCATCTTTGTGTTTGTGTGCTAGTTTCATCATGCAATAATCTGAACTCGCCTAGTTTAATGTGCTTAAACAACTGATAAGGAAGGCACGGAGTGAAACAACCAGGTAAAAAAAAAAGTTGTTTTATTGAAGTAGTAACTCTATTGACCAGTGCTCTGCCATCACTTCCGTTCACTCTTTGGTATAAAGGGAGTGAAGAATGCTGCTGCCATGTACACACATTCACTTGGCTACTAACTTGTAATTGAACACATTTATTCATAATTTATATATTAACAGATTAGCCCCCAAAAGTCTTGTGCAAAAGAGATCCAAGTTATTTTTGATGAATTTGTACAACTACTGTCATATAGTTGAACTTGCACAGCCAAAAATTGTCTACAGACATAAGTACTGCACATAAATTGAAAACAGTTTTCTCCTTGCAGCATCAGCATTCCACCAACAATCCCGATCAAAGAATCGTGTAGGTGTTGAATGTTTAAAGGGCTGGTGCCACCGAATTTCTGGCTTGTGCATTCTTTGGTGCAAAGGTTTCCTATAGCTCCAGGAAGCATAATACAGGCACCAAGATTCACATGTTCTTGCTAAATAATTCAATATTGCCTCATCTACGTGAACAACTTTCGGTTTCCGTTTCTGGACGCCAAGGTGGGCAGAGACGTAGCAGTGTTGGGTGGTTTGGTCATGTGACCACACAAGGCTGTGATGTATGTGCTGCACATAGTCTGCTTTCACACACATGTGCCACACAAGCACCTGGCAAAACAAACGCAGCGCAGTTGCCATGGCTAACTGCAGCAGCTGCAAGTGATTCCGATGCTTTGCCAGTATGTACGTTGCAGAGGTCCAAAAATTTCTTGTGTCACTGCTGATCTGCTGTGACATCACTACAGCTTTGGTTGCCCCTCCTATAGCGTGTTGCACACCAGAGTCGGCACACTAGTAATCTGTCTCGATTGGGAAAATGAGCACTTGAAATATATTTTAATTAAAATTCACCTAAATATTTGCTGTGTCCGACCCTTTGTGTAGAGTTCCCTTGCATACAGGCGACATACACAACAGGCTTAATAAAGCCTCAAAATTGTATGGCACTACCCTTTCTACTGTGCAGACTACTGCCAATGTCACCTTAATTCCCTAAACATTTAAATATAGTAATCTATATAGAACAAAGTTGACGAAAGTCTTGATGACTCTCAAAGGTCAGAGATAAAATGTGAGAGATAAAAAGGCTTGATGAACGCGCAGACAAAAGTAAAAACAATGAAGGCAATAAAATGGTAAAATAAAAATAATGTTCATTGTGATCATCTTAACTAAGTTCTGAGTAAAATATTTGCAAGCAAGGTTAAAAGCTTATGTACATATAATGGCTGGCATCAGTTCTTGTTTCGAAGAGAAAGCTGCGTCTTTGGCATGCTTTCTGCCAGCGTGTCTTCTTTCGCACTCAAATCGGACTCCTGGAAAAAAAAATGGAAAAAATATATATGTAAGAGAGCAGCCCAGCAGCAAAGAAATTAACGAAGTCAATGCTTCTTTAGATACTGAACAGTGTTTTTAGCAATACATAAGCTCTACATTAGCTGCAATTTTTCAATTTTTTAAAAAATAGATTAAGGAGTCTAGGATCACATTTTGGCTTTTAAGAGCCAAAACTACGACACGATTATGAGGTACACCGCAGTGGATATTTCTGACAATCTGGTGTTCTTTAACATGCACAGACATCGCGCAATTCGCATTTATATTCATTTATATCAAGCATTGTTGAAAACAGATTTCATATGCCCGGGGACTGCAGGTGTAAAGAATAAGGATTTTATTTAAACGAAATAAAACATTACATGCGAATAAATATAAATTTAAATGAGTGCTTTCACGGCTTAGCACTCCTACATTGCAGTGAACCCCCTTCAAGGGGGTTACATACCAACTAACAACAGCTATTCATTCATTTTGAATACTTCAAAATTTTAAACAATTTCAAATCGAAGTGAATTCGTATACAATATTTGTTTGAATATTTAAAGCATTCGAATATTCACACAAGCCTCGTCATCACCCATCTGGGAGACTGGAGCCCGAGAGGAGAAAAGCAGGTGACAATTCTGGTAGAAATTCGAACTTTTCCTTTGCACATAGTGATGCGAGTCTTGACGGACACGATAGTAAGCATGCAACGTAAGCATTGCAATTGACAGCTTGAAATGGCCAGACCTGGTACTTACCGAGTGTTGTAGAACAGAACACTCCCCCTTGCACTGGCAGAGGGAGGAGCAGCTCCTCTGCTTTCTTGAGCACCCGCAGCGCCCCTGGCGGCATGTTCCCCGGCACTTGCAGGCAGCCGCTGATGTGGAACGCTACGCAATAGTGGCACAAGCAGTTGAAGGCCAGTCGCGGAAAAATTCAGACTCGGAATATCTAAAACAAGCTTTCATAACAGCTTAGACACACAGCATAAGCGCAGTAGCATGTACTATACTGCAGTTCGCACTTAAAAAAGTGTATGTATACACAATTACACCAGCATACTTATCAGCAAAAACCAATGTTTGAGGAAGGATGATGACTATATCTGTCTTGTGTTAGCTGACAATAACAGATTCCATTGAAAGAAGGATCAAGCGACTTATTTTAATTTCGTCAAGAACGTCTGTTACTGTTATGTTTGCTCTCGAGTCCTCCCTCTCATGTCGTTAAAAGCAGCACTTTGCTTCCTCATTAACCTCAACATGTCACCCCCACCCCCCCCCCACCCACAAAAGCATGTGCACACACACACTTGCACCTCTTTATAAGAAACGCTGATGTAAGAAACACTTGGGGTATATGAGACACCGTTGTGACTGCACTGACATGGGTGTTGAACAGAAAATTAAGAAATGGCACCCTGTTCAGAGTCCTTATGTAAGAAACAAAAACTGCTGCCTGGTACATGCAGATGAGCAAATGCACAAGACAAGTTTTTTTAGGCAAAGGCGGCCGAATACAGAGGAAGAAAAAGGAAAGAAAATGTAAGGAAGAAGTGAAGGTGTGCTCCTTACAGGCAATCGATCCTGCAAATAGGAAATATAAATTTATAGCAAAGTATAAAAGAATTCAAAATGGACACATGCATGCAACTTCACAATGACACTACCAAACCAATATAGACTCATTTTATTGCATTGCACCACTCAATAGCACTGAAAAAGGCAGTTGAACCTCTCCTGGTGAAGCGTTGTCCAATGAACAAAGAAAAGAACAAAGACTAGCTTTAAACATACATGCAGATTTCACAGCAGCAGGCAGAATTCTGGTTATGAGAGGAGTTATTTTTGTAAACGTAACGCCGCTGATGGAGTGCCAGTGACTTGTGTACAGAGATTTATGACAAGCAAATGGAATTAACTTTTTTGCTTTTTGCATGATTGTTAATGTGCAGCTATGCAATATGCATTTCAGAGTAGCCAACGATGTCTTGAATGGTTCTTGTTATTCTTTAACAACCGAGAATGCTTGGCCAAAGAAACTGCACACTTGCTTTATTTGAATGTTATACTTGTTTTAGCACACGTAATCGTATAGGCAGTTAATTATGCTTCTAACTACCACAAGGCATTAGTGGGGAGGGTTCAAATAATTACGTGGAGACGAAACTTTGCAAGCACACATCTGAATCAACAACAAGAGAAACATCTTTAGCGTACATAAATACACCGTAAGAACGACAATAACCATGAAATTGCAACTCTTGGGTACATAGAGCGTACCCAATTTTGGGAGAAAATGCTACTCATTTCATTCGCTGCAGCCGATAGTGTGTTGTATTGCAAACCGTCAAAAGCAAACTTCGCTCCATTAATTTAATACACAGACCAAACTTAGGCCGAGTAATAATCCCTTGTTTCTGAAAGTATTTCCTCCTTGATGTGGAGTTCATAAGTGGAAATAACTGGAGCCTTGCTGCAAGATTTCAATAAAAATATCTGTATTTGTTAAAAAAAACACCCTGCCTATATGCAAAGGAAAAGAGAGAGAATCATATCAAAAAGCCAGAAAGTCAGAAAAAAGTGAAGCTATGAAACTCGCTATATTTTGCTTGTCCATTTTTCTGGTAACTGCTACACATGCTGCCTGTAGAGTCCGTTTCAGACTTAAGAAAAATCTCATAGTGCGTGGTCTTGTGATGCGGCCATGATGCAGCCAGCACGACAGTCGCACGCCAGCAGCAGCGCGCGCTTGCGCAGACGCTTGAGGGGTATTGTATAGGACTGCGTCATCAGCTACGGCCGGGCACGCTGGCCGCATTGCGAGGCAGCGAGTGAATTTTATTGTTGCGAAAACTGCGTCGATATTTCTCATCATGTCGCGGTACGCCTTATTGCCATCCAAAATCCGTGCAGTCATCACTGCTGCTAGTGACCCGATGGGGTATTAAGTGAAGTTGGAAGCTGCACGCATGCATTTCGAAGCCTGCGAGTCAGTGCTGACTGAAGTGATGAAATGCCATTGAGAAGAAAAACGTTCTAGTTTTATTGTGTAGAACCTGCTTAGCTGCGCAGCAGTCACTGCAGAGGGCTTCGTTTGTCTTTTTTTTTTTATAGCGTGGCTCGGTATCTGCTCACCGTGATATTCCCCGTCGCAGCACACAGCGTTTCACACAAAAAGAAAAGAAATGCAAGTGAATGCACTCAGTGCACAGGTATTTCGAAAGAGGAAGCAACGTATGCTTTCAAACTGTCTTTCTAGAACCCCATTACTGCAAATGAAGGCCGAGTGGTTGGCATCGCACAACATTTAGCACAGAATATCGACCTAGCTGAACGATGAAATCAGCAGGCTGCCCGACAATGTGGCCATCGCGCACAGTCATCGCAGACTATTCAGATCGATAACGCATGGAAGTGTCTGCGCATACGTGAACTGCTGCCGGCGCGCAACTGCAACGCTGGTCGCAATGCGATGCCATGTGCTTCGAGTTTTCCCCAAGTGTGAAACAGATTGTACATGCATGGATGCATGGAGCTGGAGTTTTGAGCTTACTCAAAACTCCACCTTCAAGGCACAAAAAAAAAAAAAGAGAGAGAACAACGTACCTTAATATTTTTGGGCTTGTCATCTTCGTTGGACTTCCGCTTGCGGTTGGGCTGCAAGAAAGGTCAGAAAAGTAATTGTTAAATTAATCTCTCAGCTTAAATGTGGGATTCAACATATCAAATAAACGCTACAGCTATGATAGTTTATGTAGGTTAGTTATTATACTTATTGAGTTTGTCAAAGTAGTGGTGCAAGGAATCAAACCTGCAACCTTGGGTTCGGCAGCAGCCGCGATAACACAAACACTGTGTACTGCCCTGCTCGGTACGAGGTGGAACCAGTGTTGGCGGCAATATGTTGAAAGCAGCATACTTTTTTTTTTTCAAGGACTGAGCTTTCTGGCTATCTATCGATGTACAGAGAAGAGAAGAAAAAAAATATGCCATGCCTACATAGCATGAGTGGCAAAGTTTGAAGCTCGCCTCCTTGCATCATGCACGGTAATAGTAATACCTCGCATAGTGCTGTGTAATTGCTAATGACCCAAGTAAATATTTTTGTGATACAAAGCTTTTTACTGGGCACGCAAGAAGTTTTAGTCTAACTAAAATTTCTCATGTGACCTGGTGAGCACTGACATTAAGTTTATTTATGTCAAGCTTTTTGCATCAACGACCCCCTAGTAGCAATTCGTGACCTAACACGCAAGTGGGGGACGAATAACTCACTGTTATTGATTTCTGTAGCTGGTATCTAGTATTATTCAAAATGACTGGCAAGCCCGCCATTTCTTTACGGTAACCTCCAGATTGTGCCACAGCTGACCCCTCCTCCACAAAAAAGAGCGACGAGAGGCTCAGCTGCTCTGAAAACATTTCGTGTAGTAGAGGCACACATTAAGTCATGCCTTGTCACCTGCATTGCCGTCCTCACCGTACAAAGTGTTGACTGGGGCTGAATATTTCTATACCATGCAAACTTTTGGAGCACATAATTTTCTCTAACTTGGTCACCTTTCCAGAATCAAATTCGTTCTTTAGCACGTCACAGCATGGATTTAGGAAGTCATTCTCATGTGAAACACAGTCTCTTTGGTTTACTTATTCGTTACACATTCTAGATCGGAGTTTACTGGTCGACTGCATTTTTTTAGACTTTTCGAAGGCTTCCGACAAGATTAATCATCACCTACTACTATATAAGCTCAGGACCCTTAATATTGAGGGCGGTACTCTTGCTTGGATCGAGTTTTTCTCAATCGCTCACAATTCGTTGTTGCCAACAACTACAGCTCACCCTCTTCTCTTGTTACTTCTGGTGTGCCTCAGGGTTCTGTGTTGGGCCCTTTACTATTCCTTATTCATGTTAACGATTCACCCGATGTTGTAACTTCTTCGATTCACCTTTTTGCCGACGACTGCGTTGTTTACCGAGAAATTTAATCTAACTCTGATGCTAGTTCTTTGCAAAGTGGCATTAATAATATTGCCAGCTGGTGTAGAACTTGGCACATGGACCTCAACACTAACAAATGTAAAGTTTTACATATCTCACGAACTGCCGGACCCCCTGCTAACTATATCTTAAATGCCGTTGATCTAGAGTCTGTAACTTCGTATAAATACTTGGGGATTCATATAACATCTGACGTGAAATGGAAACGTCATATTAACTATGTTATTAACAATAACATAGTTAATTATAACATAGCTACGGTACCTACGACGCAACTTTAGCCGTGAAACTAACAATGTATAAAACACTAGTTCGTCCAAAACTCGAATATGCATGCTCCATTTGGGACCCTTTTCAACTGAACTTAACTCACTTGCTTGAAATGGTACAGAATAGCGCAGCACACTTCATTCTATCTAACTACCATCGCACTAGCAGTGTTACGTCAATGAAACGCAGCCTTTCACTACAGTCACTTGAATCACGTCGCAAAGCATCTCGTCTCATACTTTTTCACAAGATATTCAATCATCCACTTTTAAAAGCTCAGTTCATTACTACTCCATCCTGTTACTCAGCTTGTTTAGATCATCAACATAAGGTACACGTCATTAGCTGCCGCACTAACACTTTCCATCATTCCTTCGTCCCACGCACATCCAACGACTGGAACCACCTTCCCTCGGACATGGTTTCCATGTCAAATCATGACTTGTTTTCTTCTACAATACAGGAGTACTTAAGTGATGATGCGTATGACGCGTGAAGTGTACATTGTACATATATATGTTATACTCCGTTTGCCCCATGTTTCTGATGATACTTACACATACATTCAGCGTATTGCCTAACATCGAATTTTCATGTCTTGTAATCTTTATTATTTTGATGTTACTATGTTTGCTCTTGTTTATAGTTTATTATTTTTTTGTACCCCACTCCCCTCTGTAAAGCCATGTGCGATTGAGGGTAAAATAAAATAAAATAAAATGGTCATGTTGACGTGCAACGTGCGTGCAATGGGCTTTTTCCGCACTTCCAACCAGGCGACAGCATGGCAAAGAACCGTTAACAGTGGCAGAGTGACGAGTACACATTGAATCACGCCGAGTTCTTTTTCACAGTTCTTTTTATACACAATTTTTTTTTAAATTCTGTAGTTTCAAGGAATCGTCCAAAGCGAGGCGACGAAAATCAGGCATGAAGCGCGAGTGCGTTTGCACGCTTTGGCGCAAGCGGGCACCATGATATGACCACTTAGATGTAGACTTCATAGTTACTAACGCATTGTCACTCAGGATGGTATGTGTGAAATGTATCACACCGAACAGGTAGCACTAGTATCGATGTTGCAGGGCCTTCCGTTTTCCGATGTATGCAATTAAAATTAGGGCGAGAGGACCTACGCATACCGAAAAATAGAATGAAGGGCACATCTCAATTCTGATATTTGATGTCAGTGCTCCTTCAAGAAGTAAATGACAAACAAAACAAAAAGCATGTGGACATTGATTTTTTTAACAAACACACTAATTTCCCCTTGATGACACTCCACAGTTTTGTATTCTTAAAATTAAATGTATATAAGGAGAAGTTGGCACCAATGCATGGCGCCGACTACTCCTCTGCTCTTGCACAATGGTTGTCATCGCATATTAGAAAACAAAAACAAGGCTACCTCAATACAAAACCACCCCGATAAATTTTTTCATGCAATATAGAATGTGAAAAAACAAGTATTTACAGAATTGCATCTCTCAATCATATGGTGGTTTTGGGACGTTAAACCCCCGCAACAGTCTAATCTAGTATTCACAGAATTGAAATACCCACACAAAAGTTCCCTAAATGTTCTCAAATGCAATTGTGTCTTTCAGGAGTAGTCTTAAATGATGCATTTTAACTGCAACAAATAGGTTTTCACAATGATTTATCTGCAAAAATGAGAAACATACCAGTTAACAATGACGCAAGAACATTTTCTTTTCCCATTTAGTGCTTTTGTGATATTTCTAATTTCTACCGAAAGTGAACAACTGTACACCCAGTAGGGCTTTATAAGTTTCATTTTAGCCATTGGTCCAAGACTTTTGCTATTGATGAGGCCCTCTTATCCACAGAATTTAATTTTGTGTAAAAGTTTTTTTAGAGGCCCATCATAATTTTTACAATGTGCTCAATGTCATCTTCAGCTTCTCTTATTTTGTACAGGAAAGCCTTCACATAGGCCGTGTCAAGCCAAAGCCTATGAATGGCTCTTTCTACAGATCGGCTAACCTTCAACGAAATATTGAATTCTACGCTGTGATCAATGCTACATAAGTAAGAGTTCTGTGCACCATTTCCGAAACAAATTTCCTGAACCTCAACTTCAATGGTAGAGGTAGCAGTGATACAGTATTATCCTCCTATTGCACTGCACGTGCCATGCGATCAGATGTGCAAGGGACAAAATAGGCTTGTGTCTATAATCTGATCTCTACTCATTACTATTTCGTAACTAACAAATACCATGTTTTAACATTTTTTGGTAATGTGGGGTATCCCGTTACTAGTTACGCGTGTGCTGCCAAATGTGCTGTGTTTATCTCTTCCCTCTCTCCTCTCTATCTTTCATCTCCAACATCCCCCTCCCACATGCAGGGTAGCGAACCGGCTGCCTATAGGCTGGTTAACCTCCTTGTCGTTCTTTTCCTCCCATTTTCCTTCCTTCCTTATTTATTAACCTGGGGGTTTTACACAAGACACTTGTCTCATAGACTCCACATTACCAGCACTATCCTCTAATTGCAGCAGTAATAGATAACATACTTTAACATTCTTTGCAATGCGAAGTATCTCATGACTAGTTGCGTAGTTTTTCATTATAATTAGCCCGGGGGTTTCACACAAAACACATTAGTCTCATTGACTCCACATTATCAGATCTTTCCTCTAGTCACAGTGGCACACTACTGTCAGCCTGCCAGGCATTGAAAAACATGAGTATCATCTCATGTATCTATCAGTGCCACTATCTAAATGCAACTTGAAAAGGTATCAATACCTGGCGTCGTTCACTGCCGAGAACCCAGTCGGGGTCATTTTCTTGGTCATTTTCTCCGTCGCTGTCAAAGTCGATGGTTGTGTCCAAGTCGGCGAAAGTGAAAGAGCTCATCTTGTTTCCAGTTTTTGACTGCAACAGACAAAAACCGTGCGAGATGACACAGCTCCAAAGCATGGTATCGGTCGTATGTCAAGGCGTGGTGTCACAAATTGTGCTTGCTGGTGTCGCCAGTCACGAAGACCATAGAGTTTTCTAAATATACACTAGAGAGAACTCTGGCGCTAGCGTCCATGGGAGCTGAAATGCACGGTGTTTCAGCGAGGATGAGAATTGAGGGTAGTACACGGATTTGTCTAACCTTTGTACTTCTGGCTCAGTGTGCGTTCATGTGGCTTGAAGCTGTTTTCTCACAAAACAAATATCAGCGAATGTTCAGAGGTTGCGCTTCACCATCTTATTCTTTTAGGTTTACCATTTCAAATCAGGTCACAAAGCTCAAGAGGGCTAGTTCTTTTCTTCGAAGCAAAACCAAAACACAGCCCGCAAGTGCGAAGTCTAGGCAAATCCGTGTACTACCCATCATTTACATGGTTGCTTAACGATCGCAGCCCCTTTAGTTAATTTTGGAAAACTCTATGACTAAGACTATTGCAAAAAGTCATCTAGAATGATAATACTGCTGTTGCCAATATTCATCACATGCCAACATAAGCATGTAACGAATGTAGTAACATTATTGTAGCTAAGAGAGCAGCGAAATCGCTTTGCAAAGATTAAACAATTCATCTGGTGAGCTTGTTTGCAAAGAAACCAAAGCGCTGCAATAGCTTTGAACAAATGTGGTCAGTGAAATATTGCTTTCTAACCAAATGCGTCAACACCAATCTTTTTGCGTTCTAGCTTAATTGCTGGCATTCACATAAGATGCCGATTGCAAGTGATTCATATGGTGATTCTAATGAGATTAGAGAATATTCTTACACTACAACATCAACACCACAAAGTTTCAATGTGCAAAGGTGAGTCTTGCCTTCAGAGTTAACATCTGTCCCCAGTGTGAATGTAAGCTTAATAAATATATTACTGAATTCGAAATTTTCAACAGCTTTTGCAGATCTTGTAAAGCTACAATAAAACAGTTTCAGTTTATGAGCATTAAGTGAAACCTGTCTTAAGATTAATTAGCGATATAAGTGGGGTGTACAAATGTGTACAATATGAGAGAATTGCAAACGATTCATACCGTCTCTGGCTTCTTCTTAGGCTTTTTAACAGAAGAAACTTCTTCAAAGAACGCCACACGACCTCCTTTGACGCTCGCAAGCTCCTGCAAGTGTGCAGCAGCAAACAACATCTTCAAAATGCAAACCTAAGCAAGGGCAATGTTGCCGGCATCTTTTGATTGCTATGGCACTTCCAGCCAGATGGCTGTGATTGACAGTCAACCATGTCTACTTGAACCTTGTAATAGAGAAGGAGCTTCAACTCTGCTTGTCTCGGCAAGACAGCCTTGTATACAAGTGTTACAGCAATGAAATAGCTTTTTCTGAAGCTCAGCATTGCCTTAAATTACCATGTAAACATTTGGACAAAATTATAGAATTTTCAGGCATACAAAAGCACATTTTCTTTACATTAAGGTGTTATTTTCATTTTGTATGTTAACATAAAACCTTGACCAAATTGAGTTAAAATAATTGTTACACTATTGGTATCAGTACGACACTTGCATAATATAGTTAGTGCATACAGTTATGGTAGGAATGAAAGTGGGACCCCACCCTTTCCAAAGCTTCCACTTCCTCAGACTTTTTCTTGAGCTCATCGTGGACATACTGCAGCCGGGATAGTTCCTGGACCTATGTCAATCGTGCCGGAAAAAAAACTGTACCATTACTATCTATACAATCTTGCAGAGGTTGTTTCAGCACTATACAGTACTGATCACAACGAATTTCAAAGCTAAAAGAGCAATTTGGTGAAATTTTTTTCCAATAAAAGCCTCAGACACATAATAAACAAGATGGCTACAAGAGTAACAAAATTGCATGTACATATGCGATACCCTTCGATGCAAGTAATATTTACTTGCAGTATTTGCCTCTATAATGTACCTAATGTCGTAATGCAATACAGGCCAGTTCATGCATTCTTCACTTTTCTTGCTCATACATTCCTCAGTTTTCTCACGTATGGGAGGGCAGATTAAGGGGGCTGAAGAAGTACCTGGCTTTCCAGTTTCTCGACGATGGAAGTATCCAGGTCTGGGTTCGACTGAAGCGTTGCGTTGGCGCTGTGCTTAAGAAAGACGAGTTTCTGGATAATAAAAGGAAAAAAAAAAAAGTATCGGAGTATAAGCACAACACTCGGTATGCTTACCCTTAAACACTCAGACCTTAAAATACCTAAACCAGATATCTAACCCAAATCGGTTATAAGAAAGTAAATGAAAATTAGTCTTGCAATAGATGCAGTGTTAGGAATAAACCTTTACAACAAATTTTCGCATATAACAAGCTTATTTTGTGCTAGCTGTAACTTTGTTATAAGAAGGTTTTAGTGCGAACAGTTTGCAGGTTAGCACACCATATGCTTACCTCAGCCAATCAAATTTCTGAAATGATGTTGCTGCAGTAAATCAGAATTTCTGAAACGGCGTTGTTACTCGAATGGTACAACTGAGTGAAGCTTTTCAATTTTGATGCCCTAGTCCTGGCAATGCATAAGTGGGCGATTCCACGTAAGATCAAACCAAGCATGGCCGGTCTACCTCTCGAATTTCTTTCAAAATTTTATATATTGTTGTCTGATGAGTGGAAAGAAGAGGTAAGGTCTTTTTTTAACCCAGCTACGTTGGCCCTTCTGGATATCATAAAAGTATAGAAGCCTCCCACAAACTTAACTGCAATTGTCTTTGCCCGAAAAAATTTTGTTCGAAGCACCGTAAATCAATTATGATGAAGAGGTGGAATGCCACGTTTACCTGCCTTGCTGTTATTTCCGAATTTGGCGACGAATTAAACAAAATATATTTAAGATACATGTACCTCAAATTTGTTTAGCTAAATCCAGACGTATTTTCACTTAAGCCCAATAATTTTTTTTTATTCTCTGCGTAGTGGAGATGTTTTTATAACAAATCCTAAACTCTACCTAGAAAACGTTTTTTTGTCTATTTTGCAGGTCTTTATTTCAAGAACGGCCTACAACAGAGGTGTAAATTTTGGATTACTTTCCCAGTATGCTTGTTTATAAAACTGCCAAAGCTTATGTTCATAACACTTTTCAATAAAAAGATACAGTCACGTTAGCTTCAAGACAGAAGCATGCAATAGAAAAATTCTGACGACGATTACAAAAAACCCATTTTTGACATTTCTTAAACTTTCGCCACTACTCTTCACATCATTCTCTCGCACATCAGCTTTCGCATTCAGTAAAAGTACGTTGTATAGTGTGGTTTCACTAGCAGTTATGACCTGTCAATGCCCTTGAGCAACGATAGACAATTGTAGATCAAACTTCCGGCCCGCTAAGTATGGAATGCAGACTTATACTTCAGTTTTTTAAAATGCAAGCAGCACTGGAATAGTTGATGGCTGCACTAAGGACGCCAATTCTGAAATAATTTGGTCAGGTATTCGGTCATGAGTACTGAATTAACGAGCAAGTGAAAGTGCACAGTCTGGTGTGTTCAAACGTGTCTGTATCTACAACGATTAACTCAACTGGGAGACCACTGGCTTTTGTTCCGCCTTGAAAGAAATGAGTTGGCTGATTATTCTTGGCAGATTTCTGCATCTGTAAAACAAACGTAGCAATTGATTTACATGTATGCTTTTATGGTTGTAAATGTGTTTGTTTCTACTGCTGTAGGAATCGCACGGTTTAGTTGGGCAATGCTTGCCTTTAGCAGTGTCCCCCTTGGACAACTTCAGTATTGTTTGAAATAGACTAAGTACGAAAGACTAAATTTTAATTGCATTAACTCTGCCATGTAAATAAACGTGTTTTGGAGGACAAATTGTTTTGTATATTTGGCATTAAGGCTCACTACTCACGTGAATGCAAGTCGCTGCTTGTTTCTGGCATAGCACCGACACGTCAATAAAGTCTGTTAGCTGTCGGGATGCGGGCGGGTATTGAAATGGCAACAAATCGCAAAAAAGTGAATTTTCGTAAAAGTGTAGTATCCCGGCATTTAGACTATTTATCTTCCGGCGAAATCTGAACACTGTATTCAATGTCAAAATATTTTTTTAAAAAGCAGCGTTTTGCATGCCTAGGTGGAAGCCAAATGACGGAAAATCGACTAATTATGTTCGAAGTTCGTGCACTCGTAACTTCTGAACACAGCGACTGGGCGCCGCCATCTTGGAGTTGTTTCGAAGCTGCTTTCTTTGTGCAACTTTTCCCTATCTTCAAAATGCCGCCGGTGCAGCGAGAGCGACGATACCACTCTTTTTTCCGAAGGTCACTTGCGAGCACGTGATTGGTCAAAGCGCAAGCTCGCCCCGCGCGCTGACCTTCTATTGGTACCCCGCGTTTGTCTTGCCTTTTTTTTTTTTGCCCGGTCTCTCGTTGTGATCGCGCACTCTCTCTGCTCGGGCTTTCGGCTGCACCGCAACGTTTTTCAGGTTCACAACTTCACTACTGTGTTTAAACTACTGCGATTATTGAGCTGCTCAAATGTCTGAAGACATTCGTCTGAAGAAAACTATGCAATGCGTATTCGGCAAGAAATGACCGACTATGGGTTGTCCAACAAAATTCGGCAAAGGAATGTTCTGCAATAGCCGCTGGACGAATTGAACACGCACCTGCATCCAGCGTGGACTCCTCTAATGACAGCACAGAACTCATCATATGCGGAATTGTCTGTTGACGCATCAAATACAGCGCCGCGGCCCACTACATCTAGCGCGTGTGCCTCGTTCAGCCATGCCTAGAGTGCTGCCGCGGAATGCATCGGGGTTCGTTGGTTGGCACTTTGTGTACGAAAACGCATCTTGGCACGTGTAGTGTGTATATTTTGTCGGTCCAAGCCTCGAGTGTTATCAGAAAAAGTGTTCATAACATTTTCTTATCGGCTGAAGAAAATAGCCAGCGTGCACCAAGTGCGGCCGACGTGAAAAAGCACTTGGCGTCGTCGGAAACTGAACGAAAGTGAACTTCTCGGCGTTGACACGAAACGGGGGAACTTCAATGATAATGGAACACAATTCTCTATGGTACATTTGAGAGCGTTTAATTACCTTCTCGGACTTATGATTTGTGCCGACTGCGGCGACAGTGTCCAAGAAGCAAAGAAAAGAGGACTTGAGTGTGAAACTCATGAGGGCATGTTCAGCGCACGGCATGCGCGATGAACGATTTACTTCGCTGAGAGTGACTGGAGATTCATCAATAACGTCATTTATAGTATATGCAACAAAGTCCAAGTAGTCGGGAATGCCACGAAAAACAAGCTCGTCAAAGACTAACACTGCTTGCAGTTCTGGTCAGCTGTTAAGTGTAGATTCAAGCCCTTGTCATTGCGAGAATTCAAATAATGTTATTTTTCCCTTTTTTTATTTTTGTGACCCTGACCTAGGTGCGAATAGCGACAGCATAGACCCCATAGGCACGTCATTTTCATGCACAGTGTGCAAATACAAGCCGAAACACAACGGTGAAGTGTTTGGTAGGAGCTCTCTCGCACTATTTACAAGGACTATGCATGCTAATACAGCAAATTTTTCATGGTTCCCGTGACATTGTTGTAAAATATATGATATTATCTTGTTCCTAAAGGGCAAAGCTACACAATGATGCCTTTTATACAATTATGCTGCAATACCACATCACTTTATAAAAAACTAAAAGTTCAAATGCATTTTTCTCAGTTTTATGATTTCAGACGTAACACGTAGCGTTACGGAGCATTTTGACACGTTTTTATTCACTCACAAAAAGTTTGATACCAATTGTAATTCATGATGATTGTAAACAATACGAGGCAGAAATTTTTCAGTCACATTTGTATTCATTTATTTTACATTTGAAGTTTGTTGCGAACATCAAAATTAGCACCACCGGATATACCAGCTTTCTGGCAATCTGGATATACACAGTTTTTGTGTTTGACATGGTGAAATTGCCAAAAAGCCCCATAAGAAATATGTTCATTGTGTATTATAAACATTTAGTACAGTCAAATATCATCAATTTTAACACACTTAATTCAAACTACTAGTTAATTCGAACTCGTGATGAGGTTCCATCAAAGCGATGTGTATTCCAATGGGCAAAAATGCCCGGTAATTCAAACGCGCAAGCACTTGCGACGGTTAATTCGAACATACTGCGCTTTGAAAATGTTATCAGCACCCTGCCCAATCCTGCGGCGGCAGCTGTGACACCTCAACCTTGCGTGCAAAGGAAATAAAAAGGAAAGAAAAGGCTGGGGTAGAATGTTTGCTCTCAAATGCCACCTGGGATGCGCCCGAGTCAAGCTTCTCCCTTTTCCGTCCCTGCCACGTAAAGACCCTTCTCCTTCCAATGCCGTGCGCAGAGAGAAAAAAAAAAAAAAAGAACAGAAAGCTGCCGCTGGGTTGAATGAATGTGTGGGTGAAGGAAAAGAAAAAGGCACTATCTTCTGCAGTCCTTGCCCCTTGCGGGAGCATGGCTCTGCGCCCTGAGGGAGGTGGGGGGGGGGGGGGGGGGGTCTCACGCGCTGGTGCCCGCTTCCCCCTTCCCGTCCTTGCCACGTAACCCTTCTCCAATGATGTACGCGCGCAGAGAGAAAAAAAAAAGAACAGAAAGCTGCCGCTGGGTTGAATGAATGTGTGGTTGAAAGGAAAAGAAAAAGGCACTATCTTCTGCAGTCCTTGCCCCTTGCGGGAGCATGACTCTGCGCCCTGAGGGAGGTGGGGGGAGGTGGGGGGTCTCACGCGCTGGTGCCCGCTTCCCCCCTTCCCGTCCTTGCCACGTAACCATTCTGCAATGATGTATGCGAGGAGAGCAGAAAAAAAAGCCGAGAGAAAAAAGCGCAGAGAGAAAAAAAAGAACAGAAAGCTGCCGCTGGGTTGAATGAATGTGTGGTTGAAGGAAAAGAAAAAGGCACTATCTTCTGCAGTCCTTGCCCCTTGCGGGAGCATGGCTCTGCGCCCTGAGGGAGGTGGGGGGGGTGGGGGGTCTTACGCGCTGGTGCCCGCTTCCCCCTTCCCGTCCTTGCCACGTAACCCTTCTGCAATGATGTATGCGAGGAGAGCAGAAAAAAAAAAGCCGAGAGAAAAAAGCGCAGAGAGAAAAAAAAAGAACAGAAAGCTGCCGCTGGGTTGAATGAATGTGTGGTTGAAGGAAAAGAAAAAGGCACTATCTTCTGCAGTCCTTGCCCCTTGCGGGAGCATGGCTCTGCGCCCTGAGGGAGGTGGGGGGGGTCTCACGCGCTGGTGCCCGCTTCCCCCCTTCCCGTCCTTGCCACGTAACCCTTCTGCAATGATGTATGCGAGGAGAGCAGAAAAAAAAAAAAGCTGCCGTGTAGTGTTGGCTTTCTCTCAAATGTCTATCTCCTTCTTTCCGCGTGGGAACGCTCCTTTCTCGTCACGTGCTGGCCTTGCTGTGGCTGCTATGCAGTCATTGTTGTCCTCTTTAGAAAGTGTCGGCGCTGGACATTTCCGCGCAACTTCTCTTGCCAGAAAAATGCTGAAGCCGAAGAAATGCTTTGCAAGCTGCGTGCGAAATTGATTGACTCGCTGCAAGGCAAACGTGTGCAGGCGTGCATCCCCGATTACTTCAATTAATATCGGATGTTCTGCGATTTGTGAATAAATGCAAGTCTTCTGAAACTTCCCCCTCATGTGTTAGCTCAATGCACATGCCCCACTGCACGGAGAGCCCTCCGTTTATTAAGCTTTTGTTAATTTGAACTTTATTTCGAACACATTTTCGGGCCCCTTCGAGTTCGAATTAGCGAGATTTGACTGTATTAGTGTTTCAGGATGCAAAATTTCGGACATAATTTGACATGGTTCCTGGTTAGCAGGCCGGCATGTTAAAAAAAAAAAAAAAAGCTCGATGTCGACGCCATCTGTAATCTAAGCACCTAGGCCCACGTAGGTGCATCAGGGCACATACATACAGTTTCTGAAGCTACAGCCCATCCCTGAAGGTTTATTCTGACGAACTCGTGATGTGGCGTGTGGGGATTCCGAGCGCATGCATGGTTGTCACATCTACGACAGCACAGGCAGCATCTGTATTTGCATGGCTGCATATGTTCCCATCAAGCATAACAGGGTGAAAATCTGTTCATAACGACCATACTCCATTACTTGCACGTTAATGAACCTTGGCCTGCACTAAAGAAAAATTTACATCACTTCAATATTCATACGATCAGAGGTTTTACTGAATGAGAAATTTTTGTTCTCTTCAGATTGGATATCCCGGTTCGACTGTATACATTTATTTCTGTTGTTTCTCCTGCCATATCCAGCCAAAATAATTACATATGCCTCACTGTACGTAGAAAAAGACAAAACACAGAAAAAAAGACTGCAGAGGATACTTATGCCACTAACCTCTTCTTGGTGCTCTTTGAGCAGGTTGGTCAGCTTCATGTCATAGTCCTCCCGAGCCTGCTGAAACTCTGCCTGTAGTTGCCGTATCTCCTTCTGGCCCTCTGCTGTTGCTCGTTCCTGTTCCCTCAGCTTGGCAGCAGTGGTGTAGGTGGTCATGTTCTCTGTCACAAGCTGCAGGAAGTAGAGATGCGTCACTCTGCAGATATGGCTGAACCTCCGCTACAATGAGTACTGATATCAATTATCCATAAAAGAAAATTAGGCACCTACACTGCTAGACAAAATACAGACTACTATTGTGCTTTAGTTTTCCCTGATGGTGAATTTTGAAGTCAAACTCCTACAGTGCCGGTGGTACAAGCCAGCCAAGTGAAGGCAAATAGAAGAATACTCCAGGGTGCAGTTTAAATGCACTAAATATGAACTTTGGATGGTTGCGCATTTATTCAGATCCAATGCTTTTTTTTTTATCAATCAAGAGGACGGGGAGGAGGACTACAGGGTTGCGAGTCTCACTAGGGTTCCTGCTGCCAAACACACTTCAGACAGCACTCGCCTTTATATTACATCACACTGAAACACTAGGCATAGCAATACTGAAACAAAAAGTGAATAGAGGCAATATGCACGTACACAATGTTTCAGTGGCAATTTCTCAGTGCAATGGCTCTTGCAATAGCGGTTTTGTTCTATCATATGTAATTAAATATTCGATTTGCTAAAGGTTCAACCCTCAAAAAGGTAGCATAAAAAGTGAAATAAGTATTCATTAAATTCAAAACCACGTAATTATTTGAAAAAGTTGCGTAAACTTTGGGAAGCTAATGTGAGAAAGACAACACACAGTTGACTGCTTCCACTATTTTATAAATAGAGCGGGAAAACTTTGGGAGCTTATGCAATGACAAAATGTGGACCAGCATTCAATAAAGGTAAAAACAGCAGCAAAGAGAAGAGGTATTGATTGCGACGTGTGTATAGGGTTTGAAGCATGAAATAATGAGCAAGTTTTTTTTTGTACGATTCAGACCACTTGACCACACACACACGCACACACACACAGGATTGATTGATTAATATGTAGGGTTTTGATTTGATATGTGGGGTTTAACATCCTAAAAGCACCATATGATTATGAAGAACGCCGTAGTTGAAAGCTCCAGAAATTTCGACCACCTGGGGTTCTTTAACGTGCACCCAAATCTGAGCACACAGGCCTACAGCGTTTTCACCTCCGTCAAAAATGCAACTGCTGCAGCCGGGATTCGATCCCGTGACCTGCGAGTCGGCAGTCGAGTACCTTAGCCACTAGACCAAAGTGACCCCCCCCACACACACAAAAACCAACAATGTATGCCGAATGTTCTCCACTCTTCATTTTAACAATGAAACATCAATGAGCATGCATATGTGTGCTGCCCTGACACAAAGTAAATGAACAAGAAATGTAAATATAAAGCAGATATTCTTCAACAATGAAAATTTTACCCAATCTTGAGCACTACAGGTCACACGAAAATTTATTGGCAAGCACGTGGGCTCTGTACTTTCCCCATATAAATATGAAAATATATAAACATATATAAATATAGAGGGTGTCCCACATAACTTGAGCTAAGAATTTCAAAGTGAAAGGCACTTAGGAGGCGAATTGAACCAAACGCATACTACTCACACTAGCCTGTAGGTACTCTGGCTATTTTTTTATTTCTCTCCATACTGATTTATTAGTAATTCTTAATCGCCTATTTTTGAAGTATAGGCTGGAAACGCAAAATATGAGCACCAAGATGTAAAGCACTTTCAGAAAACGCCTACTGAATTGTTTCCTGTACGATACGTCTCGCGCTGTTATTTTTGATACCACACGATTATGAGAGACGCCGTAGTGGTGGGCTTTGGAAATTTCGACGACCTGGGGTTCTTTAACGTGCACCCAAATCTGAGCACACGGGCCTACAACATTTCCGCCTCCATCGGAAATGCAGCCGCCGCAGCCGGGATTCGATCCTGCTACCTGCGGGGCAGCAGCCGAGTACCTTAGTCACTAGACCACCGCGGCGGGTCGCGCTGTTATTTTTTCCACATTGTAAAGAAAGCCTGCGAAATGTGAAAGGAACCTGTGTGACGACCACGAGTGCACTGCTATAGGCTTTCTTTACAACGCGAAAAAAAGAACAGCGCTAAACATATCGTACAAAAAACAATTTAGTCTGAGGTTTCTGAAAGTGTTCTACATCTCAGTGTTCATATTTTGGGTTTCCAGCCCATAATTAAAATGGGTAATCAAATATAAAAATAATTAGTATGGGGAAAAATAAAAAAAAGCCAGAGTACCTACAGGCTAGTGCGGGTAATACACGTTCGGTTCAATTCGCCACTGAAATGCAATTTTCAAATGCTTGGCTCAAGTTATGTGGGACACCCTGTATATAAATATATAAGTGAGAGAATAGTCTATCTTCAATAAAAGCACACACCATGCTGAAGTTCAAGATAACTGATGTGGTAAAGGCTAGCAGGTATACATAGTTACTAAATGCCAATTATAAATTCCAAAGAACTCTTCTACCAAATCCAAGCTGGAAACATATTCTGGTCTCTTTTTCAAGGATACATACATTTTTTATCAACAGATTTTTGGAGGCCGTTCTACAATGTGAAGCAGGACGGCCAACAAGATCAACCAGATACTGAAACGAGTGCAGGAATTGGTATTTTCTTTCATCACTGTGATAGTGCAACATATTAAAAGTAAAGATTACCTGCTAGCAAAAATTTAACAAGAAACATTACTTTTGTAAAAAAAAAAGAGCGACAGTGTTTTTAGTCCACTGCACAATAATTTGACGCAACCAAAGGCAGGCTCACCATCTCGAAGAGATTTGTTATGATGGCCCGGCTCTCAATGATGTCCGTCACATTTGAGGCGACGTTCTTGAGGTGTCGCTCTGTGGAGAAAAGAATTGCATTTGATTCACTAATTTCTTCACACGGAAAGGTGTTCCGAAAATACTTAGGGGCTACGTGAACTGCAATACCCTAGGATCTCCGAATAATTTTTACAACTGTCGTGAGAAGGGTCTTAGCTGGAGGTGGGGCACACTGTGCACTTGCCCAGTGTGTCCTTCTAGCATGGGTATGCAATATTCCCCGATGTCAAGTAAAAATGATGTTAATGGGTCAGCTGGCATGTGCATTATGGCTATTGAACATTGAATCAACTGCCAAGGGCCAATTTACGACCAAACCGAGGAAGTTATTGCACATAAGTAACCGCAGGCATTGGACTGTATTCCCGATAGAAATCAAATGCACAAAGTAAGTAAATTAAGCGAACTGGAGTGGCTAAGACAATGTGTGATGTTACGGAAGTCTGGTCACAAAATTCTTTTCCTTACGCAACAGCCTTAGACTAAGATGGAAGCCATTTCAGTCAATGCATTAATCTTACCCTCCGAAAGCTTTCTGCTGCTCACCTTTTGAACTACACCCAAACCTTATTATAACAAAGCTGTATTTTGCACAAAATACATTTGTTATATCCGAAAATTCGGTAGATAGATTGATATGTAGAGTTTAAAGTTTCAAAACCACCATACCGATGTAACCATGAATATCCTCTGGCTGTCCATTATAAATACAAATATCCGGTCGTATAGATATCCAACACAGATAGCCAATGGACATACTGTGAAAAAGCCATGTCTTGTGTGCGTGTTGTCCTGAAACCTGCTTGACCAGCAGGTTGTTCGTGTTGCATCACGCGTATGAACGCTGAGCCCGCTTCGAGGCTCCGAGTGGCAGAAGGCAATTTTTTTTTCAAGTGCGCTCGTGTGGACATCAACAGCAACATGTAAAGTTATGAAGGATTGCTTTTCTACAAGACGCACCAAAACGCAGCACGAGCCCACCATTGTTTTCGACAGAAGTTACCGTGGCAAGCAGCAGCAACCCTGATCACTGGCATGGCACAGATAAGGACATGTGTTACATCTTTGTCTCATATCGGACATTTATATGTTCTTATCACGCGTTAACTTTGTCCATTTGTATAAGCCCTGCTAATACGTGGCATGTTTCGAGTTATTCATTTGCTCGCATATTGCTTGCTATTAACCAATTTAAGACGAGCACGTGGTCAGTGCCTGTGCATCTTTAGAAGCATGTGCTACACCCATTAGTTTTTCCTGTGCTTGTCTGTATGGACATATTGTGGTTACTAGAATAACATTGCTATGAAGACGTGCGAGTTAGGTTTGTTGCTAATAATTTAATAAACCCATAAAGAATGCAATTGCTGCCGCAAGCACTTGCGACGGTCAATTCGAACATACCGCTCTCCGAAAATGCTCTACCGATTACTTCAATTATTAATGGATGTCCCGTAATTTGAGAATAAATGTAAGTCTTCTGAAACTTCCCCCTCGTGTGTTAGCTCAATGCACATGCGCCGTTGCATGGAGAGCTTGAAAAAGCTTTCGGGCCCCTTCAAGTTTGAATTACATTGTGTGTGATTGATTGACGATTGATTTGTAAGGTTTAACGTCCCAAAACCACTATTTGATTATGAGAGACGCCGTAGTGGAGGGCTCCGGAAATTTAGACCACCTGGGGTTCTTTAACATGCACCCAAATCTGAGTACACGGGCCTACAACATTTCCGCCTCCATCGGAAATGCAGCCGCCACAGCCTGGATTTGATCCCGCGACCTGCGGGTCAGCAGCCGAGTACCTTAGCCACTAGACCACCATGGCGGGGCATTACATTGTGTGTGTGTGATACATACATACATATATACATACATACATACATACATACATACATACATATATATATATTGTCGCGTAGATATAGATGTAGCTATTTTCTTTCAACTTTTGGCTCGTTCCAATGTCGCGGGTCTGCCCAGGAGCAGGGTTTGCGGTGGTGTCCTTGAGTGGCTCACCGGCTTGTTGTACGAGCGCGTTCTCTTCCTTCCTGCGAGGGTCTGTTTCCCATTTAGGGGACCGCAGACGGCTTTGTATCCGCGGCGCCGGAAGGTATGCGGGGTGAGCTGTACAGTGTGTGGTGTTTGCTGCTTACCCGCAGATCCTGGTCGTGGTTTCTGTCCATTATATATACTATATATATATACATATATACATATATACATATATACATATATATATACATATACATATACATATATACATATATACATATATACATATATACATATATACATATATACATATATACATATATACATATATATATATATACATATATACATATACATATATACATATATACATATATACACATATATACATATATATATATATATATATATATTATCCTCTGAAGAGCCTGTCAATGTTCATGTTGGCTTTGTCACCTTTGTACATCCGATGTACGTCAATCCGACGTACAGGGTGCATAGAGACCCTATTTAAATTTTTAAAAACATTTTAGTTAGGTCACGATAAATATGCCCATTTTTCTTCACAAGTTTTATTACTAGTGTTTGAATTCTATTCTAAATTATTCGAATAAACTCACTATTTGCTTCGAACTTAAAACAACTATTTGCAGAAGTAAAAAAAAAAAACGTCTAAGTGACGTAAGACATCAAAAATTTTGGCCAAATGCCATGTCATGAAGATAACACGAGAAATGCAAGAAATCGTTACGAGTTAACACCCACACTACTGATTTTCTTGCTTGATAAGAGAATCCAAGGCTACATCTCTTAAATAAAAACAGCTGCACAAAAGAGTCATTTAAGAGTCATCATGTCCCTACATACAATGTACAGCTCGGTATTACAATGGGAAACAGTGAGGCTGCTGAACTCACCAGGATCTACATCCAGAATCTTCTGTTGGAGCTTGGCAATATCGTCATTGTGTTCTTTCAGGGCGCTCTTTAACTCGTGGAGACGTGCATCATGCTCGACCCGATCTGCTTGCGCCTGAAGAAGACGTGTATGGCATGCAAAAGAATGGTCAGTTGAGGACTGAAGGATAACTGGAGCAATTTGATTAGAAAATTTTGAGGCATTGAATGGGATTTTACTGACAAAAAATAGATACTAATCAATGCCCAATCTCAACATTCTACAAGTCGTGTTTGCGCAAAATGTTTCTCTTTAAAACAAAACAAACGATGAAACTTGGGGAACAAAAACAATATTTTGTAGAATAACAGTGTACTTTTTCAATGGAACGTGAAGGGACCAGAAAAATATGTTTACATTAAAAAGAACACTGCTCCTAGTTTTTTAGAATGATTTTGATGAAACTTGGCGACTTCATGATAATAGCGTGTTGATTTCAAATGCATATTTATTTTTCAAGCAATGTGCAGTTTTTAAAATGCAATATTAAAATGTATTTCACGCCACTTTCGGGGAGCTAGATTTTGTCTAAACAGCGTTACAAAGTAAATCAACATATCAAAATAATCTGAAATTTGTAAAATAAGAGGAGTAACAAAAATAGATGCTCCAAATGCACTGGAACAAAACTTATGGTATGCTGAGCATTTGCAAGTTACTCAATTCCAAACTGGAATTTCAATGCACGAGTACACCAAGTTTTATTAAAATCAACCAAGAAATTAAAAAAATATGAGTGACATGTTCCCAGGAGTTCTCTTTAGTGAGAGTTGAAACGGGGGTGCCTAACTCGAGTATGAAGCCAATCATATTGAAGGTTGTTCGATTTAGGCAGAGCTCGAGTTACAAAGAGTCTGCTGTAGTAATACGCATCAATGAACACTGAAGCTGCCCGATTGACTCGTGATGGTAATGTCACAAAGCAACACTGGAACTGCAAAGGCTGCCGTAAGTGACAATTGAATAGTGGAAATAATAAATTCTAGCTAGCCGAAGTGTCTAAACACAAAGTTTGCCAAAGGAAGTTAGCTGAAGTAGCTAAAATTATTTCTGTTTAGTGTCCTCCTTTAAACAGTGAACTCTGCTGTACGTAGTGTCAACTTTCACAGCTACCCAGAATGGTTCATACATCAGCTAAAAGCACAAAAAAAAAATGTCACCCATTGTTGAGTGCCTACCATGTCGGGGTCCTTCAGCTGCTTCTCAACTATGTGAATTTCCATGGCGATGGCCTTGCGCTCCTCAATAAGCGAAGCCAGGTGGTGCTCCAGCTTCTTGCTCTCGGTCACGACAAGAAGTTCACTTTGCAGCCAGTTCTGCAGCGAAAGAAGAAAGCTCAGGGGGCAGACAGTAATCCAAAGCGAAGCAGGACTTGACTAAACCACCCAACAACAAATTTTAAAGTACAAATACCAAGTCAGGTCACTAATATTAGTGCATCACGAATCCTTCGCTGGAAAAGTTCATCGAATCTCACGTACGCGTGGTGTTGCAGTGATTGAGAGTTTGACCAGACAAACGAGGATAAATGAACCTTCAAACACAATGAAAGCTACGCCAATGTACATTATGAACTTCCTGTCTGTCGCATCGAGGTCTGTCGCATCGAGCGCTTGTGAGGGCGTCAATACGCCGGGTTCCCCAACATTAGGCTCCGGGGTGTCGACACATTCGTCACTGTCGTCATGCGCGCCCGTCACCGCAAGCACAATTTCCGCATCCGACAACTCTTCGGTTGTCACCGCGTGTCGCAGTCAAGGCACAACAAGAAAGTGTCGCAGTCAGGCACCACGCTGGCGTCAAGGAGAGCGTCCCACGTCTGGACCTGGTCGATCGTGGCACCTACTGGTGACATCGCTGAAATCTTTGCCTTTGACGCCAGGCTTTCAACATTGTCGACTTCTGCTCGACTTATATTTTTGCGCTTACGTTTGCGGCTGCTGTGGTCCATCTCGTGTCTAGCGGCAGAGACCGATAGAGGTGGTGTTGCTCTTTCACAAACACAATCTCCACCACCCGGAGAAGGAGGTCAGATGCGCGGGCGGGTAAACGAATTCTACAGGAGTGGGGAGGCCGGCTGACGCGCACCCTCCTCCGAGTTGCTGTGCTGGAGAGTCCATTAGTGCAGTGAGACTTTCTCCCACACGCATGTTGGCAGGCGGCTTTCAGAGAGCGCCAGGCGGGAGTTTTGATTACCGCACTTGTGGCGAGAGGTAAACTGTCGCGCGCCATAAGATGTTGAACTGACGTATACCAAAATGATCAGTAAATGCTCATTGTGGACGAAGAATGGCTCGTTATATCCATTGTGATGCAATTTTCACTTCATTAAAGCAAGGTTTTAAATATATTGGCATCCATGAGAACTTCAAGGGGAATTAAAATTGCTTAGTTATATTCAATAGTTCGTTATTTCCCACTTCATTATAATGAGGTTTTACTGTACCGATTTTCCCAGTAGTCTTGACCTCTACAAAATGGCAGAGGGCGAAAATTCGAATTGCATCGAATTGCACCAAAACTGCATCGAAGCACTGGACTGTTTCGTAGGGCCAATGACCAATCAAAGAACTCAGTGGTACGTCAAGTTGCCAATAGATAGGCTTGCATCACTGAGTGTACAAGAGAGATTGGTCAGAAAGAAAGAGGCCCGGAAATCGTTTTTCGAAACAGAAAATGTGATGGTGGTGGTCTGCTGTACGAATTGGCGAGCTTGTTTGGGGAGTGCAAAAAAGTTTCAGCCTATTTAATGTCCCTTTAAGGGACCACGCAAAGCTGTAGCATAGGTAATCCTGAAATCACAGAGTCGAAAAACTAACCATATAGGCAGCAACATACAGCCTTGCCCAAAAAACGGGTACAGACTGCATGAAAAAGCCTACCACACTTCCCTGCACTACTCGGAGGAAGGTAGATTAAATGATTTTTAACAATAACTGCTAAACATTTAATCAGAGGAGACGCAGGCGAACATGTATTCTCAAATTAAAAAATCAAAATCAATGCACATCTTTCATCCAGTCAGTCAAATTTGAAAATTCCCAGCATGTGAAGATTAAACCAAAATTGGTTGGCAGCAGCCTCCTGTTGGAAGATACAGTGCCGTTGCCACCACCTCATGACAAAGGAGGACATTTTGTTGCCAGTGTGAGTAGGACGAGTTTGTGCGCAACTGAACTGCCCGCATCGTATTTGTTCCTTTGTGAAGAGCAATCGGTGATACGCCGCCTTTATGAATGCTCACGTCCAGATAAAGTAATTTTGCACATCGAACATAGCTGTGTCACATTATTTTTGTGCGCTCAAAGCCTGCGACCACGAGCGTCTCAAGCAAAGCGAGCAGATCTTCAGTTGCACGTCCTCCAAAGGAAGTTTCCACAGGTCAAAAATGTGAAAATACTCCGATACCAAAGATGAGGTGTGTCGCTATCTGAAGCTGCTTTGTGTAGAATGAGCTTGTGTAGGTAAAGGCCCCGGAATACATATGGTATCAAGGCATGCCCAAAAAAGATTGTAAAGCTAGATTGATTGATTGATACGTGGGGTTTAACATCCTGAAACCACCATACGATTATGAGAGACGCCGTAGTAGAGGGCTCCGGAAATTTCGACCACCTGGGGTTCTTTATCGTGCGCCCAAATCTGAGCACATGCAGCCGCTGAAGCCGGGATTCGATCCCGTGACCTGCGGGTCAGCAGCCGAGTGCCTTAGCCACTAGACCACCACGGCGGGGCGATTGTAAAGCTAGGAGTACACGAATAGCCAGGAAAATAAATAATTCATTCTAATAAGGTATATCCTACAGGATTCACCATTTTTCTAATCTTCAATTGAAGGGCATGCGAGTTCTTATTTTGCTTCTGCTGAAGTTTGGTCTGCTCTAGATTAGAGTGGAAAGATTGATGTTTTTTCCTCAAATAGTATAAGAGAGTCATAAAATGTGGGGTCAACAAAAAAATTATGTTGTATAACCAAGGTTTTCACTACATTTGATGATTGGGTTTAACATCACAAAACCTCAATACGATTATAAGAGAAACCGCAGTGGAGGGCTTTGAAAATTTCGTCCTCCTTCGGTTCTTTGACATGCACCTTATAAATCCATGGACCTTAAGCATCTTCACCTCTGTCGTAAACGTCGCCGCCACGTCCTGCATTATTTCTATGGGGGCTTCGCCGTAAACGTGGGGTGACGTATAAACGAGGTTCTACTACTCTTCACTAAATTAAATGAGTGAACTTCTAAATAAGCATGCACGAGAACGATTACCGAGTACAAGTGGAAGCATAGTGAGCCTTTTCACAAATCTAATCCATTACAGATGAGTCTACTAATGTAAAAACCTACTGCTACTACTTGCAATACAGCTTTTGTGCCTGTACGCTAATTGTAAGATGCCAGTACTTTTTTGAACAGCGCTGCTTGCCACACTGGTGCATTTTATTTAACTTAACTTCTTGCTGAGAAAACTGTGCACCACTTACAGAGGCCATGTATAGCATGGCATTAGATACTGCTCATCAGGTATTAATGTGAAGACTTAAATGTAGCAGGGTACAATTGCATCAGGCCACTCACATTATGTGTGAAAAAAAAAGGAGACAAAAAAAGTGTGCTGATAATAGGCCTAGTACAGGTCTCGAGACCAGGAATGGCTTTCCTTAAATGCTCAGGTGCTCTGTTTTCAAGTGATGAAAAATTCTTGAACACAGAGACATCGTTGAAGGTAACGTTTCACCAAGCAATATTTCATTCAAGGCGGCAAGTAGCAAGACTGCCTGCGAAAACATTGGCTTCCTTTACACACTTTGTTCAAGAATTTTTTATCTCCTCAAGCTTTCGTCTTCCCCCGACCTTCTGCCTTATTCAATTTTCAAATGCTGTAAGATGACATTTTTAATGAGCCCTGCTTGCACATTAACCCCTGGAACACGTGCCTTGACGCGCAACGCCATGCTGTCGAACCCGCTGGCGTTGGCACGGTTCTCCAGGCGGCGACGCTGAGCAGCCTCGAGTCTGTTTTTCGCCGCCAGGGCCTCCTCCATACGTCGCTGCAGCACGTTGATGCGCATGGCATTTTGACGCTCCATGCGAGCCATCTGTGCCGACTGCTGCTGCTGGCGCATCCGCAAGGCCCGGACCTCGCGATTGCACTCCGTCTGCTGGCGCCTGTGGCGTTCGGACTCTTCCTTCATTCGCTTCATGAGCTGCACTCTGGCCTGCTTCATGTTCTGAAAAGCACCAAGCGCCATGCGTTTGATGAGCAAACATTTGCACGATGAGCCACTCAAGTTCTTACAACAGTCTGCTACACTGCACACTTGCCAATTTGGCGACACAGAGATTACTATTAAACCTTTGGAGCAAGGAAGGTACGAGTTTCTAAGGATTTATATTTTACCTTTAACGACAAGCTTCATCATGTTTTTAAAGAGAGTTATCAAAGCAACTCCTCAATTGCTGCGACTGCGCAAGAACTTGTCATGCTTATGTGGTTGTCTGTGTCTCGTACATGTCCCAAGAGCTTTTTCTTAGTGATGCTGACCTTGAAGTCTAACTCGCACCATGCAAAAAAATTGAATACGAGTCGCCTTCACTTGTTAAACAGCTGTTGATGAAAACATTGCAAAAACTGCTTTTGCTCTGGTGTCCAGCAATTTGATGGAACACGAGTACACATGACACTGCACATCTTGCTTAATTGCTTAGAAAGGAGGAATGCAAACACGAGTTTTGGGAGCAGTAGCCGGAACCCATACTGGAAACGTCATCAGCTTGAAAAAACAACATGCGGCGAAGTTTCACGGCATATTTTTATTCCTTTAGCATTCAGAGTTCGTCTCAGAGATGCAGCAATATGTCGGCATTGCGATTATCAGCCAATACATGCCTCATGTCGATATGCATTACGTATATAAATACGCAAACAAACACCTACTGCAGACTGCCCCGCGCTCGAGCCTGTAACATGGCAGTGTGCATACGACAGCCGACAAATGACAGCAATTTTGCATAAGGTCTATAATACCTGATAAACAACACAGGTAGGGTTTTCCCAACCAAGAATCTTAGTATATAAATCTCAAAGGAAGCTAAATATTTGTTTAGTCCCGAACTTTTGCATCAATCGGTCTTCAACATTACTATGGTAGTTACACTGACCCTCAGTAAGTGCAAGTCTACAGAGCAGAATTGCTGCTCAAGTGAAACAATTGCCTTTAAAATGGTTTCGTACCGTTTTCAATCCGATTTGACAGCAGTTTTTTTCACTGTGAGAGAGTCTAGAGAACACGTTTTCCTGGTTCTTTCAGATTTTTTTTTTATTGTACTAGTGAAATCAGCATGGATGAAAAGAGACACCGGTACAAAACTATCGTGTCGTCATTTTTAAAGAAGCATTGACACCTTTTTACACCTTTTTACACCTTTTTTGTTGTTGTTGGAATAGGTAGCTTACAACCCGCTTTCCTTTTCATGGCTGGAAACCTCGTTTGCATGAGTGCGTGACAGTTATCCAATTACAAATGTTTTTAGAATGCCCAGTTGCAATTTAGGTTTCAAAGAGCACCGAGCTGGGCACAAGCAGCTCCGGTTGCAAACACAGCTGGCAACGTGACTGCACAGAACTGTGACGCGGGTGCCACGCACGAGAGTGTGTACCGCACTGACAGCCAGTAAAGCCAGCACACGCAAAGTCACAGACACAAAGGAAGAAGTCGCAAGTAGCGAAAGCGCAAGATGTGTGCCAACTACCAAGCCAACAGCTAACACCAACTCATTATGCAGGCTTGTTCACACACTCACCGCATTGATGTCCGTGTTGTGAGAAGGTTTTGAACCTCGCTCAGTCATGCAGCATGCACTTCAAAATCAATTTTGACTATGTAATAGGTTATCTTTGCCTTTGATATTCATGTATGCTTATGCCTCTCCATAAATCTACGTAACTTACTATCTCTCTCTTTTGAAATTTATGTCAGTGCCCCTTCAACTCATGTCCGTGTATTATTTTGTCTGGCTAGTTTCACTAGTAACTACTTAAGCTGCTCATAAGGCTTGCTTAGAATATACGTAAAACTGTACCTAAAAGCCCACAACTTTTATGACTACATTTTAGTCATACAGTAACCTTCCTCCTTGCTATAAAATAAAAGGTCTGAAAGATACTTCATTAGTCTAGGACAGATGGTGGTGCTCTTTCATGTACCTAGAAAAACCTCAGCTGTAATCCCAGAAACTGAAAGATAATGTCTTCAACATAGCCCAGTCCCACACGGCAGCATCGAAAGCCATCAAACACTAAGAAAGAAAGTATCGGCGTGGGAAAAAGACACCCTTCTTATCAGATATCCTACATGCCTTTTATGCATTATCACTGCATGCCCGGCATTTCCTGGTCACGATAGCATGCACATTATCAGTTTGACATAGCATTCATGAAAGAAAGGTGGCGATTGCAAAGTTTCAAGATAGGAAAATGCAAGCCCCTTGAGCACTTTAACATTGAACCCCACAGAGGAAGCTTCACTTTGGGACAGGCAGCCCGGCAAATGAAAGACGGTACGCACAGAGATTTCCTGCTGGAGCTTCTTGGCACTGCGCTCCGCATCCTCCTTGAGTCTGATCACACGGGTCTGCTCGTCGACCTTCTTGCGCAGCTGGCTAACACGATCTTCCAGCTCTTGAATGCGCTTGCGCCGCTGCTCTGCCACACTGTTTGCTGCCGGGCTGTGGGTGCACACAAGAGAGCAAGACACATTCGCTAAACCACTCGGCCAGTATTTAGCACAAACACGCTGTAAGCAAACATTCTCTGCCAAAAGAATAGCACTCGCACTCTAAATAAACACGTGCGTACAGTAGCCCAGTCCAACCCGAGAAGCTCTAAGATGCTCCGTGCCATATGACCGAGCGTTGCAGCCGATTGCCTCCCTGAAATCAAGACATAGTCTCTCTGATGCACTTGGCAACATTATCTCAACGCAGGGTCACTGGCTGCCTGGCTCCAGATATTACTATAGAGTGCGCGTACATTTGTGCCCGGCTGTGTGCACCAGCCTTTGAGGAGGGCATGCCACATATTTCTAGAGTTGTGTCGAACTATATAGACACCTTATGCGAGATGGCAAAACTGTACTTGCGTTAACTTGTACCAGTGACTTGAATGAAACAGATTGAGTCAACAAACATCATAACTGCGACCAAACACCTAACAGCATCCTGTTCTGTAGTGTGCAAAGCCACTGCATGTCAGCCACAGACAGTGTGCAGTTTGTAGGGAAACGCAACCACACACAACCCTGACCGCTGACAATGCAGTGCAACTATACTGCGGTAGCACTAGATGCCGAGGCTGTGACCAAAAAACATGAGGGCTCAGCACTGGCTGTACACAGGCTGGAGGCTTTAGGATTTCACCATCAGATTCGTGCAATGAGTACAAGGCATCATCACGTACATAAGCGTCTTTACGTCAGCATGTCAGAGCTACATCAGCACATCAGACACATCAGGATCTGTACATCAGCTCTGCCAAAACAATCACCCACATCAGCACTATTACCTATATCAGAATGTTTGTTTCTCGCATGCAAAGCCGCTGATCAGTCTTAGACAATAAACGATTTGGAAAGAAATGCAACCATACCCAAAAGCAGGGCAAATCTATGAAGACCTATATATTACAAGACCATGGCAAAATGTTATTTATAGGCACTAGCGCAGATAAGTTCTCCTGGAGGGCGATCAGACCCGAGTATGTATTAAACCAATGCTTCCACTGAATGAGCCGTACTAAAAAGTATATTTCCATCAGTAGAGATTGCTGCATAGCATCACTGTGATAATCTAGGATTGTATATGGTAAAATCTAGAGCAGCCATCAGTAAATTAGTGATGCGATTGAACGAAGCCATTTGGGCACAGCTTCTGGAGCAACTAAAATAGCACTTCGGAGCAGCATAACAACCATTTGGAGCAAATACTTGCTGCACATTTTTGGACACGAACATTTGCCTCGAAGCCGGAGCCGTTGTACCACATGCTAAATGAAATGTATTTACGCAAGCATGCATGGCTGTTTATTTGGATTACTCCTAACATAATATTAGGTTACATACTTGCCAAGTGTCGACTTTTTTTTTCAGCACCAACAAAAAAACGAAAACAAACAAACAAACATCACAAAAAAAAAAAGAAACAAGGGGGAGGGAGGGATCTGAATTGCAAGCGCCACTATCAGCGTTGCAGTTTTATGGTGAATTGGAGAGGCCAAACACACTAGGGTAGGGTTTCCCACTAAGGTGAAAGAGTAGCGTTCCCCACTAAGGTGAAAGTCTCAACACAACTAACAGAATTCATTTCCATCAAAACAACTCGCTTAAGTCTTCCCGGGACACACGTGAGCGGACAAGACTACGCAGCTGGCTGTCGCAAAAGCGTGTGTCAAAGCTTTGCTCACTACTAGATTCTTACTTTTCAGAGGAATGCCAAAACGAGTCTGGCCTTTTTTATTTATTATGATATACAACTATATAGACTAGGTAGGCTTATTTTCTTGCCGCTATTCAGCATATGTATATGTATATATATTGCAATACCACGGTTCAGCTGGCGCTTTAGTCAAGCAACAGCAAGATGACGCCGATAATGAAGAGGAACGATGCGAAAACTGATGGTTATTGACAGATGAAGTCCAACGAATTCTTAAATTAATTTTCCCCCGTCGACGGAAGCGGCCAGCCTGACCGCCAATTGCGCTGTGGAACACATACGATAGGGCTTGAGACGTGAAATGTGCACAATCTCTGTCCCGCGGCAGCGTTGGTCAGTGGGTGCATGAACTGGTGTGACACGGTAGTTCACCGGCGAGGTCTGTTCGACAACTTTGTAGGGGCCAAGATAGCGTGACTCGAGCTTCTCGCATAAGCCAGGCGTTCGTGCAGGAGTCCACAGAAGTACATTGTTACCAGGGCGGTAGAGAACGACGCGGTGAGTGGCATCGTAGCGATGTTTGCGATCTTCTTGGCTAGCTTCGGTGTTTACACAGACAAGACGGCATTGAGCAACACTGGACAGAAACTGGTCGCAAACGAATGGTGAAGAGTTGACGGGGCCAGAAAAGAATGAAACGTCGAGTGGCGATGCCAGTTGGCGTCCGTATGGAGAATGTGGTTCGTTGAACTGACGTATTATTTGCATACGTGACAAAGGGAAGAATGGCATCCCAATTGCGATGATCCGGTCGGATATACATGGACAGCATGTCGCACAGTGTGCGATGAAATCTTTTCGTTAAGCTATTGGTTTGTGGGTGATAGCTAGATCTTTTATGAACTGTTTTTGATGCTTGAAGAACTTCACTGAGCGTGGTTGAAAGAAATGCCTTGCCCCGGTCTCTCAAAAGAACATGAAGGACTCCGTGATGTAGGTAAATAGCATTCAAGAAGAAACTTGCTACTTCGGAAGCAGTTCCTGAAGTGATTGAGGCCGTCTCAGCGTATCGGGTGAAGTGATCGACCACGGTGACGATCTATCTCTTGCCGTCCGATGTAGTTAGGAGGGGCCCAAAGAGGTCAATTCCGACGACAGAGAACGGTTCTGCTGGGCAAGAAAGTGGCTATAGGGTCCCGACTGGAGCAGTAGTGGGCCGCTTGCGGTGTTGGCAAAGTGCACGCGAGGCAATATACTTAGCTATCGTCGTGGAAAGACCTGGCCAGAAGAATCGACTGCAGATGCGCTCGTATGTTTTGTAGTAACCCAAGTGGCCCGACGTCGCGTGAAGCGCGCAGAACTTGAGTGCGTAGTGCGCGGGGTACGAGGGGAACACATCGATGGCCTTTAGTGTGGAAAATGTATCGATAGAACACAATGTCCTCCAACTTGAATAGTCTGAGTTGTTTCCAGAGCCTGGCATTTGGGAAAGATGAAGCACCGGTAAGCCAACCGATGAGGTCAGTGCAATAAGAATCGTCTCACTGGTGAGTGGTAAGTACTGAAGGATGGGTGGATGAAGGTAGGGAAGAAATGGATGATATCGACGAGGCGTCCTCCGCATAGCCAATTTGACAAGGGAATGTGACGTGCGCCGAAGATTGCGGCAAAGGGCATCGTGACAAAGCGTCGGCATCTCGGTGTTGTCTTTCGGTCTTGTAGATGATGCCAAAGTCATACGATTTTAACTGGAGAATCCAGTGGCCAAGTCGCCCCAACAAGTTTTTGATTGTCGAGAACCAGCAAAGAGCATGGTGGTCTGTCACAACAGCAAAATGTCGACCATGTAGATACGGACGAAATTTTTGGAGGAACTAGACAACAGCCAAGGACTCTTGTTCGGTTATCGAGTACCTCTTGTGTGCAGAGGTCAGAGTGCGGCTTGCATACACGACAACTTTCTCGCGAAAGACATGGTCGCGATAGAGGAGTACGGCACCGATTCCTTGTCCGCTAGCGTCAGCTGTGTAACAGCCTTGTCATCTAAATAACAAAGCACCGGTGGGGATGTCAGTGCGTGCTTGAATGATCAGTGCAAGGCCCCATGTCAAGAACTCCAATCGAAGGAACCAGTACTAACAAGGAGCTTGTGGAGAGGAGCGGCAATGGTGGCAAAGTTGCGAATGAAGAGGCGAAAGTATGATGCGAGTCCAAGGAAACTGCGTAGTTCTTTGGAAAGAAAGGGGCGCGAAAAATTGAGTAGTGCGGAAATTTTCTGAATTGGGCTGGATGCCATCTTTACTAACGAGATGTGCCATTTCGGCAACACAGCTGTAAAAGTTCTGGGACTTCTTTGTGTTTAGTTGAAGTCCAGCATTCGAGAGACATGCGAGTACTTCATCTAGGCGTTGCAGATGATCAGCAAAGGTGGAAGAAAACATGACTATAATCTTACAAGAAAACGCATGATTGCGGATATATACGATGTTTACTTGCGATGGCAATGGCTGACACACTCGCGGGCTGGGACCAGTCTTTATCCACTTCTCGTAGTCTTTGCTTCCAAGCAGAGACCCTTTACTGCTTTATGCCTCAATCCCACTACTGCCTTGTGGCACTACCCCGCGACGTTAAAGTGTTGGGCGACATATAAGGCTTCAGTCTTATGACGTGCACAACAGTAGATGGTGGTGGCGTTGAGTGCACCGTATGGACGACTCGCCGTATCTCGTAGGTGAGGTTAGTATCTATCTATCTATCTATCTATCTATCTATCTATCTATATCCACCCAGCCGCCTACCACTTTTAGCTCTCCTGACCGTTTAGAGAATGGTATCACTACCGACTTTTAACTGATTAAGGGCGCCCACACCGACACGGTCACTAGAAGAGGAAATTGCACAGACCAAGGGAGCCTACTCGCAACTAAAGTTTATTCGAACAAACGGTGGGTACATATACATCACTTCTGTCACATGACTTAACAGGTGAAAGAAGAAAACCAGAAATAGGGCTATAAAACAAAACACGTACGTGCTTCAGATCAGATCCTCAGAGTGCTGATGAGGTGATGATGCGCTAGCTTCACACATGCCAAATTTGGTATTGCGTGACGCCAGTA